TTTCTCATTTTGTCTCTCATAGTTGAGGTATACCTATGATGAAAATTACAGGCCTCTCTCATCTTTTTAAGTGGGAGAACTTGCACAATTGGTGGCTGACTAAATAAATACTTTTTTGCCCCACTGTATATATAATTTGTAAGTAAGCATATATATATATATATACACATACATATCCATTTAGGAATGCTTCAGTTTTTTATTTGTAGGCAAGCATACTATAATACATGTCTCTTTTTGCTCAGGGTCATTGTCATGCTGTACATGTTACAAAAACCTTCCGCAACAAAGTGGTAAGTACAAAATTCTCTAGATTATAATTGTCTTTACAATTATGATTAATTATTAGTCTTCGTCACATGACAAAGACAAACCAATGGGGAACAAGTCACATGACTAAAGCAACCAGACAAGGGAATCACATGACTAGACAATAACCAATGAGAGCATAGGTGCGTTCGACTTGAAGCACGGCTACAGACTGCAGTCAACGAGAGTAGCCGCTTGCAGTCGGGGGCGGAGTTGAAAACGGAGCCGTCAAGCCGGACACTTTCTGCTCCCGTTAGTGATGCTCACGCGGTGTTTGCATACTCTATCACAGATGAAGTGTATTAAATGCAATATTTGTCAAATACACAGACGTTTCAGAAACATTTTCATGAGCAACAGAAATACTTTTTATATACTGCTTAATACAGCACCATCTGTTCAAGAATAAAGTTCAACGTAAATATATACTATTTAAATACTAATAAAGTGGGGGTATATATGCTTTCATGATAAATGTGACTCAATATAACATTGCGACTACAGTAAAAAAGCTTTTAATGTTCTAAAAACACAGATTTATGAACAGTATTGGATTTGAAGATGTTAGAAACACACGTCATTGTTGTCATGTGGTGAATTTGGCCAATCGTGAAACAGCTGTGTCGTCATCAGCGCTCCTACAGTCGCTCTGAAAAAGCTGCACCAGCTGAGTCAGCCGGCTGCTCTCGAAACGATATCGCGGT